AGGCTGTCTTAACATCCATTTGATGAATTTCAAGACCATAAACTACAGCTAATGCTACTAACGTTCGTATGGACGTAATTCTTGTAACTGGAGAGTATGTATCGAAATAGTCAAGACCTTCTCGTTGTCTATACCCTTTGACCACAAGTCTTGCCTTAAATTTGTCAATAGTGCCATCATCTTTCATTTTTCTCTTAAAGATCCATTTAGAACCCAACGGTTTATTTCCAGGAGGAAGATCAACCAATTCCCATGTATGGTTGTTCAGTATGGATTCTATTTCACTATTGACTGCCTCTTTACAAAACAATGATTCCGAAGAAGACATAGCTTCTTTAAATGTTTGAGGTTCATTTTCCAATAAGAAAGTCACAAAATCTGGTCCAAATGAAGTAGACGTTCTTTGACGTTTACTACGTCTGGGATCCTCCTGATTAAGTGTACTTTCTTTTGTTTCTTCCCGAGGTCGTTTAGATCCTTCACCAATCGACTCACATTCCTTTTTATACGGATATATATTTTCAAAGAACTCAGCATTATCTGATTCTATAACTGTATTATTATGAATGTCGGGATTTTCTAATTTATGAACTAGAAATCGATATGCTTTACTATTAGTCGCATATCCTATGAAAACATAATCAACGATTTTCGGTCCTATTTTTACCCTTTTGGGTTTAGGAACTTGCACTTTTGCCAAACACCCCCACACTTTAAAATAATTCAAGTTGGGCTTCCTTCCTTTCCATTTTTCATATGGAATGGATTGTGTTTTGCTATGGGGTACTCGATTTAGTATTCGGCTAGCCGTAAGACCGGCTTTCCCCCACAAGTTCTGTGGCAAACCAGAACTTATCAATAATGCGTTCATCATCTCCTTTAATGAACGATTCTTTCTTTCTGCAATCCCATAGGATTGGGGCGTGTAAGGGACCGTTGTTTGATAAATAATTCCATATTCTAAACATATTTGTTCAAAAGGAGATTCATATTCACCACCCCTATCACTTCTTATCATTTTGATTTTCTTGTTAAGTTGCGTTTCAACTTCATTTTTGTATTGCTTGAATGCGTCTATTGCTTCATCTTTACTATTAAGTAAGTAAACATAGCAATATCGAGTACTATCGTCAATAAAAGTTATGAAATACTTCTTTCCACCGCGAGATAGTATTGACTTCATATCGCAAATATCTATGTGAATTAAGTCTAAAGGATCTGAATTCCTTTCAACTGACTTATAAGGATGTTTAACATACTTAGATTCCACACATATTTGATATTTTGATTTGTTGCATTCAAATTTAGGCAATACTTCCAAATTAATCATTTTTCGCAAGGTTTTATAATTAACATGACCCAAATGTATATGCCATAATTCATTCGACTCAAGTAAGTAAGACGAAGCTGAAATTTTATTATTATTTTCAACAACCATTACATTCAGCTTGAAAAGGCCCTCAGTGAGGTAACCTTTTCCTACAAATATTTCGTTCTTACTTATTACAATCTTATTGGAAACAAAAACACATATAAAACCATTCTTAACATGAAGTCAAGCAAAGACTAAATTTTTTCTAATCTCGGGAACATGAAGGACGTTGTTCAAAGTCACCACTTTGCCGGAAGTCATTTTGAGAAATATCTTCCCATATCCTTCAATCTTGGCCTTTGCAGCATTTCCCATAGAAAGCGTCTCATCGGGTCCAACAGGAGCATAAGTAGCAAAAGCTTCTCTAACGGCACAAACACGGCGAGTGGCTCCAGAGTCAATCCACCACTCTTTAGGATTGCCCACCAAGTTGCATTCGGAAAGCATGGCACATAAGTCATCAACATCATCATGCTTTTCAACCATGTTTGCTTGACCCTTCTTCTTGTCTTTCTTCAGAGCACGACACTCCGTAGATTTGTGTCAGGCTTTTCCACAGTTGTAGCAATTTCCACTGAACCGCTTCTTGCTTGGGTTCTATTTCGGTCCAGAAGCCTTCTTCCTCTTTTTGTTCTCTTCAACAATATTTGATCCCATTATTGTTGAGTTTCCACGGCCTCTCTTTTCAGCAGCTTTGTTGTCCTCTTCGATTCTCAACCAAACAATGAGATCTTCAAGGGACATCTCCTTGCGTTTGTGTTTCAAGTAGTTTTTGAAGTCCTTCCACAAAGGAGGCAACTTCTCAATCATCGCTGCTAATTGGAATGCTTCATTGATGACAAGAACTTCAATGAAATTTTTGTTAGTAAAAATACTAAGATTACTACTTTCAACATCAGTATTAATTTGATTTATACCTTCAGCAAGGAGATCGTGAATAATCACTTGCAATTCCTGGACTTGGGTAATAACAGACTTGCTATCTACCTTTTTGTAGTCCAAAAACTTTGCAGCAACGAACTTCTTCAACCCGGCATCTTCGGTTTGTATTTCTTTTCAAGCGCAGTCCACAGTTCTTTTGACGTTTCCACGCCACTGTAGACGTTATACAAAGCATCCTCCAACCCGCTTAGAATATAATTCTTGCACAAGAAATCTGAATGCTTCTACGCCTCAATCACGAGAAAGCGTTCAGTTTCTGGAGTTTCATCGGACAGCACAGGAACATCTTCCTTGATGAACTTCTGGAGACTTAGAGTACTCAAGTAGAAGAATATCTTTTGCTGCCAACGCTTGAAATCAATCCCGTAAAAAATTTCGGGTTTCTCCGGCGGTGCCAATGCTGCCGGTATTGTTTGGCTCGTTGAGGCATTGGCAGTCACCATTGGAACAGCTTGGTTCATAGTTTTATTAGGCATTTCTGTAAAAGAATGACACAAATGTTAAAGTCACGTAGATTTTAATCTCTAATAGAGTACAAAACCACAAAGGTTTTGCTCTCCATAAACAGTGAGTACAAATACAGAAAATATATTAAATTCCTTAAGTTTGTTAGTAATCTGTATTTGTAAAACAATTCTAGAGAAAATAAAATAACATAAACAAAAATGTAAACGAAATAACAAAAATCAATTCGAGCCCACTGAATTCACAGTGTTTCCTTATGGAATTTAATCCCCTCCTAGTACCCAAGGTTATGGATTATTTCCTCCCAGGATAGAATGAATTACACACTGGTGTAGTGGTACTTCAAACCCCAGTGTTTCAGCGAACACAAAGTTCGGTAGCAAATCACACTTACTGTTGCTTTGTTTGATGTTAAAAGTATGCAGAAGAAGGAGGAGAAACTCAGAAAATCGTATGGAAATTTTGAGCAGAATAGTCTTGTATTTATAGCCATGTTTATGCAAAACGGCCACATCATAAATGACATAACATAAATGGCTATTTATTCAACAATAAAGAGGAAAATTGGATTTAATATTAATATTTATTTTAATATTAATATTCTGTTATTAAAACGAATATTTAATAATATTTCTGTTAATATTTTACTATTAACAAATAAATTTGGTCCAAAAAATTTATCAATCAATCGATCATTTGTCCAAATCCAAATCCGAATTCGAAGCCGAAGCCGAAGCCGAAGCCAAAGGCGAAGCAGAAGCCGAGCCGAGCGAGCGACGATGACGACGGCGCGAGGCTTGCCTTCTCCTCAACTCTTTAAGAGCTAGAAGAAGAACAATTGCTTATATACCCATAAAAAAACCTCTTCCTCTTCCAATATGGGACCTTTGCCAAGGGTGGAAACTTAAAATTTCACTCAAAAATTTCATTTCCCTCGATTTCCCATTCACCCTCTTTTAAGTATTTAATATACTTAAATAGATAAAACCCCAACAACTTTCACCCCACACCATCGCCTCGGGGCATTTTTGGTGTGGCTCGCCACAGGGCTTGCCCCGAAAATGCCTTTTAAAACACTGGTGCATACTTTGATTAATTTCATCGAGGATATGCTACCCTACACCAGCACAAGTGTTGGGTAAATCTGTTTACCATGACTAGAGCAGATAGAAAGAAATCACCAATTATTTTTTGCGTTTCACTGAAATTTGAACTCGAGGCTTCTCGTGGTTCTCCCAAATTTTCTTTTTCGGGTTTCACTAAAATTTGAACTCTAGACTTCTCGTGGTTCTCCCCATTTTATTTTATTGACTCTATATCACAAGCTTGAGTGCAAAGTTCATAACATCTTCTTCTTCTTCTCTGAGGGAGAGAAAGATCTTCAGTTGGGTACTCATAACCATCTTTTGTTATGTTTTTTGTATGACATTAGTGTCCAAATCAGTTTGTGCATACGTCGGCTAATTTTATTGAATATATGCTATCTTACACATGCACAGATACAGAGTAACTCTGTCTACTCATGACTTGCGAAAATAGAAAGAAATCACCGATTATTTTTGCGTTTCACTGAAATTTGAACTCCATACTTCTCATGGTTCGCTCCATTTTATTTCATTGACCATTGGATCACAATCTTGAATGCAAAGCTCATAAAATCTTTTCTCTTGTTCTATTAATCAAACTTCACTCTTTTTTTAAAAAAATAGGGGCGAGGGAGGGGAAGGGGGAGTCTTGTCATAATTGAAGTTGCCCTTAGGACACTTTAAATTAATTTATCGTGCCCGAGGACGTGCCGAAGTAAAGGGCAAAGCTCATGTGCCAATATGACCACCTTTTTTCAATTATGCTTTTCTTACAAAATTTAAATCAAATATTTTCTTTAAATTAGTCCCGAAAATTTGTATTCAGCTATACTATCATTTTTTTTTTTTTTTTTTTTTTTGCGTGAAATGATATTAAATACTACTAGTATTACATACTGATAGTACTCCGCGTAAATTATTCCAGAAGTTAAAGGGAACTTGTGAATTAATCCTCAAAAAATACAATCCTTTTCTTTTGTATAAAAGATAAAAGTTCCCATTCTATTTATAACATTTCCCAAACCAGGACCTTAGTACACATCCAAATAGGGTAAAATAAAGAATGAAAAGAATAGAGAATGTTATGTTAACGCTTGTAGTATCAATGTACATACAAAGAATCGAAAGTGAGGACTCTAAGAAATATGCAATCCAGCCAAAACCTCCTTAGCCAACTCTACCAAATGAAACAAAACCACAGCAGTTGAAGTGGGCACACTCAATGCAATGAGTGCAACCATGCCCAAAGCCAAACTTGGTCTTGTATCCATCAACTCGGACTGCAAGAATCCCATGGCTTCACAAATATTCGAGTCATAATTCGCGTAAAGACTCTTCTCCCAATTCGTCCATTCAGCTGAAGGCTCGTAATTCCTCTCGATCATCTTCATCTCATGAATTCTCTTTCGAAGGACGATCATGTTCTCATTTACAACACGACAGTTATAGTAGTTTTGATCACGTGCTTCTCTTTTCATTGCCAACGTCTTTGTTCTTGAAGCTCTTGACGATGACTTTGTTTTTGGTGAGAATAGTGAAGGAAGAATTGGAGAAGAAGTAAGGAAGGAAGTTGATGCTGTTGCCATTTTGGTTGATTAATTTTGTGTTGAGGGTTGAGTCTTGAGTTTTTCTTGGAGTTGTTTAGAGAAATATAATGAGGTTTAGAGGTGTGTTGGATGTATGTATTTATAGATATTGGCTCATGTGCGAGGGTGTTAAAGTCTTAAGCCAATAATAAGGAATGACGCATAGCCGCGTGAAAATGCCAGCAACCTATTAGATAGGTGCGCGTTTTTCTCACTTGGGAATCAAATATTATTTCCTTATTTCAAGTATTGAATTACTGGCGTTTGCAAATATTGATTTGGTCCTTATTATTTGCAAATACTTTTTAGATCATTTATTGGAGTAAGCATAGATTTGAAAAAGAACAATTAATTTTTACTGTTAATTATTTTATTATTAGGGGAGGGAAAGAGAAATGAAAAAGGGAATTACAAAGTCGAAAAATTAAACTGCAAACAAGATAAAAATTAAAGTAGCCAACTAACTTAAGTGCTAAAAGTTTTCTAATTAATATCTTCTTGGTTTCTTTAATGATACATTTAGAATATTGGAAATGGCCATTAATTTTGGAAAGTAGCTGGAAAGTAAGGGAGAGAAAGATCTTCAACATGCTTCCTAAGAACCAGGAAATAAAGTAGCAACAGCAAGAGGCAAGAAGTTTCCTAAAGGAGGCCACACGCTCTATCTCTTTTGTTATCTTTCTTTTGTTCTATTAATCAAATCTCACTCTTTTTTCAATAAGGCTGGAGAAGGGAAAGCAGGAATCTTGTCATATATTGAGGTTTCCCTTAAGGACACTTTGAATCAATTGATCGTGCCAGAAGGCAAAGCTCATCTGCGAGTATGACCACCTTTTTCAATTTATGTCTTTTCTTATAGGTTGCCCATCAACTTGTCCAGAAAAATTATTTACTCACACTGATACTTTGTAGGTGACTTATTACCTCCCCATCTTTACTTTAAGTGGAAGTAACACCACCCTAAGACGTATATAATTAGTAGTGGCAAAATAGTTAAAAGAAAACAGTTAACCACCCATATTATTCATTAAAAAATGGATTGGATAATTGATACGAGTCAATTCCTCACATGGTTATCCAAGTCTGAGAAATGACCCACTAAAGTAAGTTCTGAATTTTTTGGGACAATATAGTCATCAAATTTTCCTATATCTCCGTTAAAATAACAGTAGCCGGAAACCCAAATTCTCTCACCGCAAGTTACTGTTGGCTTCCCATTTTTTTTTAATCTTAGTTGCTATTTAAAATAGCGTTTTAAAAGGTGTTTTCGGGGCAGGCCCCGGGATGAGCCATGGGGCGACACGCACCAAAAATGCCGTGGGGCGATGGTAAGGGGCGTAAGTCTCAAGAGGTGTACGCCCAACAATTCATGACGTACGCCCAAGCGTTGAGGAGCGTTTTTGCAGTGAGATATAAGCCCAAGAGAGTTTTTCAAATTAAAATAAAATTTGCTGAATAAGTCCTTAATATAATATTCAAACTTTAAATTTTTTTGAAAATTAGGGACTGGAACATTAAATTTGAAGTCAAGACCTTTTTTAATTGCTAGAAACTCTAATTTATGGTCTCTCCTAATTTTTTATTTTTTCCGCTAGTCTAAGCAACAAACGGTCAATTTCTTTTTTGCAAAAACAAAAAAAAAATCCTTCTCCTCCATAGCAGCAAGTTCAAAGTTCAAATTGCAGGTTAGTCATTTCCTTCATGTAGAAAACTTTATTCTTTTAACTCAAGTTATTTGTGCTTGTAAGTAGCGTATAATGTATTGTTTTGACTAGCTTTTTATGGGGATGAATCACATCTATATATATTTTTCACTTGTTTATAATTTTCTTTAATTTTTATGTAATTTCACCTATTTAAAAGTTTTATAGTAATTATATTGTTTTATAAAATATCAAAAAATAAATACCCATGGGGCTTATGCCTTGTTGAGGCATACATTAAATTTGCTAATATTTGTACTAATTTTGTCATTAGTAATGTTAGATAAGATGCTTCTCACTCACTTATTGTTTAAGATAAAAAGCTTGGTTTGAATTGCGGGAGTTGTGGTTTTACTTTTAAGTTCCAAACTCCTGTTTTCTATGGAATTTAAGGTTTAGGGATCAACTTTATATGAGGATTGTGTTAAGTTTAGAATTTTAATAAAGTTCAATAATCTAAAGAAGCCTTGACTAGTGACATCTCATTGTGTGCAGATTCAGAGAAACGACATTGATGAAAGGAAAGAAGAACATATGGGAAATCAGAGGAACTCAACAGCTATATATTTTGAACTTTGCATCAAACGGAAAAAGAATCAATCAATCAAAGAGCAAAGAAGGAAAGTCAATCAATCAGCCTTGCCAAAGATCCTCAAGCGCGCAAGAAAGGAAAGATAGCTAATCACGGCTAGAGACCAAATCAAGAACAATCTGCAGAAGCTCTAATCTAGGAGAAATGGAGAAACCAATTCGTCAAGATTAAGGATGAATCTAGTTACCCTTTCAAGCTAGATTCATGAGGCTACCCTTGGGTCTCACTCTTAGATGTCTATGCCTCACAAGGAAAGGTCTCCAACAATTGCTGCCATACAATCCTAGAAGACAAGAAAATAGAAGACTCATCAAGCTATAAAGGAAGAAGAAGAAGAAGGAGGACATCGAAGGGCACGCAACTACATCATCTGTTTCTACATTTTTCTAGTTCTTAGTACAAACACTGTATTCTTGAGTCTACAAGCATCGCAAAAGATAGGAAGAGTTAGAAAACAAAACGAATGTTGTTTCAACATTACAAAGAAACATTGTTGTTGTATATCATTGGTGGTGAACGTACTAAAACCATCACCGTTGTAAACTCTTACTGAAGATCTAAGAGAACCCTTGTGACCCAAGGGAACTGGAAGTAGGTACCACATCGGTACTTAATCAGTATAAAAATTGATGTGCCTCTTTTACTTTTCTGTTTGCTCAATTTATTTTTGCTGTGATTAATCACTGTGTAAAGTCTAGTCGACTAATTTCCTACATTGTCAACTAAGATTTGCAAATCGACTACCATTCACCCCCTCTTGTACTTTCAACTGGTATCAGAGCAGGACTCACGAACATTACTTAACAACTAGTGAGGAAAAGACCATGGCATCAAACATAGTCGTTGGAGTACTATTTCAAGAAGGAACCTCTCAGGTACGACCTCCTTACTTCAATGGCCAATACTTCTCTCATAGGAAAGTGTGCATGGAGACCTACACCATGTCATGTGATATTAAGGTTTGACACGTGATCAAAAAGGGAAATCTTCCAATTCCGCTAAAGAAGGATAAAGACGGTGAAATTATAGTATCATCTGATCCTCTTGATTTAGACGATTACACTGAAGAACAAGCAGTTGTTATTCAAGTTAATTTAAAAGCAAAGAATCTGTTGTACAATGCTATAAGCGGAGAAGAATACGAAAAATTATCTAGCTGTGAAACTGCAAAGAAAATTTGAGATCAGTTAGAAGTCACATATGAAGGAACTAACAAGGTGAAAGAGACAAGGATCAATCTCCTAGTTTGAGATTATGAATTGTTTCAAATGAAAGATGGAGACTCAGTGGAAGAAATATTTTCTAGGTTCAGCAAAATCCTTGAAGACTTGAAATCATTTGGCAGACCAATCAGAAGTGGAGAACAAGTCAGAAAAATTCTGAGAAGTTTCCATAATTTGGCAACCCAAAGTCATTGCTTTGAATGTTAGGATCTTGACAAAATATCCTATGATGAACTTAGAGGTGATCTAATTGCGTTTGAGAAAACACATTTAGACAGGCAAGTTCAACAAGAAAAAAAGAAGACAGTTGCATTCAAAGCAACTATGGCTGAATCAGAAAATGAAAAAGAAGAAAAAGGAGGAGAATAAGATGAGAATATAGCTATGCTCTCTAAAGTTATAACAAGCATGATGAGAAAAAACAGAAATAGCAGAAGAGGTAAATCAAATTTCAAAAAGGGAAGATGAATAATGAAAATGACAAAATTGATGGAAGATGCTACGAGTGTGGAAAACATGGACACATTCAAGCCGAATGCCCTGAACTGAAAAAGAAACTAAGTAGGAATTTCCAAAAGAAGAAATCCTTTTGATCTTGGAGTGATGAAGAAAAATCTGATTACGAGGAAATTGCCAACATGTGTTTCATGGCCATCAAACAAGATAGCGATGAAGACTCGGGTGAGCTTGGTCTTATAGCAGACAAAGGAACAAGTGAGGTACGTCTTCCTACATGTCCTAACTGTGATGAACTCCAAGAATTTATTGATATTGCTCTTGCAGATATTGAGAAAGTTCTGAATGAACTTCAAAAAATCCAAAGAGAAAAGAAAGACTGGGCTTTGAAATTGGAAGTTTGTGAAATTGAGAGAGATATGCTTCAAGATGAAGTTAATGGACTTCAACTTCAACTGAATGGATTGCGAAAATCCACCAGTCATAGCTCAGTTAGATCAAATTATTTTTCTCCTCATAACTCACCAACTAGAGCTAGAAATCGCTCTGCATGGACTCATTGTGGCAAAAATGGTCACAGCTCTAACCATTGCAGGCTTAGAATCAGAGCAGAAAAAGTCTTTGAAAATTCTAATAACCCCTCCTATTTTTATTGTGGAAAACTCGGTCATACCTCTAATCATTGCAGGTTTGAGAACAACAGGAGATGGGTCTGGCGACCCAAGCCCTCTAGTCAAGCTCATACTCAGAACACTAACCATTCAGGACCCAAGCAAGCTTGGGTACCTAAAAACAAGTAATCTGTTTTTGCAGGAACACCACAAGAAGAATCAAAGAGGGAAATGGTACCTTGATAGAGCGTGTTCCAGACATATGACTGGTGACAAACAACTGTTCAAAACCTTCACCAAACTAGATGGAGGAACAATCACTTTTGGAGACAAATCAAAAGGAAATGTAATTGGAGTCGGAAGAGTTCCTCTCGGCTCAACATGTGATGTAGACGAAGTGTACCTGGTTGATGAA